ACAACTGAAAGAAACTTTGGAAAAGTTTTTGGATGACATTTTGTACATTTTGATCTTTATTTCAGTAGACTATAGCATAAAAATTATGACATGACAGAACCTGTAAAGTACTGTTTAAGCATTGTAATCAAATGTGTTATTTGGAATTATTCATTAAAAAATTATTCAAAAATGATTCCTATTTCTAAGTGACAGCTTAATATGTTACTTTGCTTTCCAAACTCCAAACTGATAAAGCTGCCAGAATCTATATTAATCAGTATGCAAAACTGGTGGCAATAAATAATTTGAAGTGACAAAAAAAATTTTAAACTGGTGAAATGGTTGGACATTTTTTAAAATTTTCCAGAGTGACCACAGGTACTGTGAAAGTATGAATTTAACCTCAAGGAAAAAAACCACATTAATCAGGAGTCATGGCAGTGACTTCCAGCCAAGTAAAACTGTCACTGACTTACAGTTGCCAATTTTCAGGGGTTGATTTCTCCACCCCCCAAAAAAAATCTGAAGTAATTTCAAATATCTCATTCGAAGGAAAATTGTTTTTTTAGATAGTGTGCAAAATTTCAAGATTTTCTATACAGCAGTTGCTGAAATATAAGCAATTGAAAAGTGCAAAAATTGCTTAAAACACTATTTTCTTCTTTTTCTTCATCTGGCACTGAAGATGCTCATAGAGAAAGAACTATTGGGTCTAGAAAGCTCAAATTTTAAACTTAAACCTTTCTCATTATCAGTGAGGTGCTCATGAAACCTCTGGGTCGATAGGTCAAAGTTCACGGGGATTTCCCATAGAGCTAATTCAGTTTTACAGCTTAATTTTATGCTTATAAAGATAAAATTGCATGGAAACAAATGAATTTTATTCAAAATGTTACTCAGAATTACAAAAGCTTAAATTTATGAGAATTACAACTTTTTATAACGATTTTTCTATACAGTGTATTGAAAGCATCAGTCGGTGAGGCATTGGTTGGTGCCGACCGAAATGAATATTGAAAGCGTTTGGTTGACAGCACATTTGTTTGGCAGTGGGTTGGTCAGTGACGTGTTCAGTTGGCAGTCACCAATCACCAACTGATTATGTCTTGACATAATAATAAAATTATTAAACAAAAATGATTGATATCCAAACAAAAACATCTGAGATGTAGATAGTTGATGTAAAAGAATTTCAAGTAAAATCTATGAAAATTCAGAAGTAAGTCAAAATTTTTCTTAGCAGTTTTTTTATAGTAAAGATAAGCTTGGTGCTTGAGAATACCAACAAGATTTTTACATGTATTTACCTTACATTTCGCCTTTAAGTGCCAAGCTTATCTTTACCAAAGAATAACTTCTAAGAAAAATTTTGACCACCGTCTTAATTGTCATAGATTTTTACTTGGCAAAACTTTTTTATATCTCAGATGTTTTTGTTTGGATTGAACTTTTTACTTTATTTATTTAAAACTTGTTATCAATTTATAAGCTATATTAATTCAATAAATGCTTTAATAAAAATATGCATTCACAAAAATATAACTATAATGTTCAGGGAAAGACAAATATGCATTATTTGAGAGATTACTACATTAATTTAAATATTCATAAATTTAAGTCAGCATTTTAGAATAATCTTAAAGTAATTCAGGCAACACTGGACTATTATACATGTCAAAAAAATGGCGAAATTTGTATACGAATAGCAAGAACTGTAGACAAATATGGCAAGAACTGTATTACTCAGTGTCTAACACAGGGTAATGCACAGCAACATGAAGAATTTTACAAATCAAAGTAGTAAAAATTTTTGGTGAAAAAGTTACAAACAGCAGTTGGACGTAAGTAGAGAATGGATGGAAAATGCTTATCAATACCAGGCAGAGAGATCTGTCAGTGGGGAATATGTCCATCTCAAACTGTAACACAGCACTTGCAATGTGTGGCAGGCTCGTCACCAATTGACTCGATGACTTATATCTAGTTTTCACTGCTAGTAATTGTTTTCATCCTTACAATATATGCTAAAACTTCTTAAGCTCCCTGAACTAAGTGTTTTTGGTATATAATCCTTAAGTATCTTTAAAAATTGTCTGATATAAAAACCTTTTCTTTTGTTTTACATTTAATTAGAAAACAACAGTTAAAACTGTTTTTTTATAGTCTAACTTTTCTAAAATGTTATGATTATTTCTGAAAAGAAATTATGCATTTTATAAAGAATATTTTTTTTCTTATTTTGTATAATTATTTATTTAATTATATTAAATAATTAATTTAATGTAATAGACATGCTTTCCTCTGTAGTGATATATAAATTTTTTGTACAAGCTGAAGCTATAATTGATTTAATTTATAATTTAACCTGTCATTTTTTTAATATTGGCATTAACTTTATACAGGCATACCTCGACTTACGTCGGTTTCGAGTTACGTCGTTCCCGATTATACGTCGCTTGTTAAAAAAGTATATGGAAAAATAAAAATCAAGTTTAAGTCATTTTATTCGACTTTACGTCTGTCCGCCACAAATATTGAAGTCATAATATCACTAGATAAACGTTTAAAGCACATAAAATCATATTAAAATATATACAAGTATGTACTGTATTTACAGTACACGCATTCGTAAATTTAGATTACTTTTTTTGTACTATATTAAAAACTAAAATTTATTTGTTTGTAAGCTTAAAATAGATTTTTATTAACCATATATTATTTAAAATGCTTTCCTAGTGATAAGTAGATTCGGAGACAGGTAAATTCGACTTACGTCGTTTTCCTGGAACCAATTACCGACGTAAGGCGAGGTATACCTGTACTTCTAAAGAAGACTAAGCCCAAATGATCATCAGCATCTCCAGAAGGGATGGAAAATTTTATGTAATTTCTATTTAATCTGAAATCAAGATAAAACAAAGTCTTGATATTTACTATATGACAGTTTTATCTTGATTCTGATATGCTTACAAATTTTCACTTCATATGTGTTGGAAGTGTGTTCTAAGGGTGCAACTATATAGACAGGAATCTAGTAGCAAGCAAAAGGTTGTAAACGATACAGTTCTCACAAAGGAAAACCTTGTGAGAACTTGTGCGTGGTTTTCCCAGAAATCTCACTGGCAAGACTGAATTTCTGGTTCTAGCAAATATATGACAGGATTTGATATTTATCATGTCTTGCATATTCTCACTGGATACTACACATGCTTTAGCACGAGTAGAAGATGGCTTCTCATATCTTTCATCTACTGTATATTTAAATAATTTTTGTTTTTTTTTCAAACTATAGATATACATAAAGTCATATAAATTCTGTTTTATTAACAGATTGTAATAAAGTTCTTTATCCTTTTGCTGTTTCCACAGAAGAGGAACATCATATTTTCATTTTCTTTTTGTGTGTTCATTATGAAATAATCCTAATAACAAAAATTTCTTCTTTGCTAATAGTAAGCATCATAGTCAAACCATGATGATCTTTACTTCCATACAATGCAATAATTCACACTTTTCTGTGGCAAGTTTAATGTGAACGTGTGATGTCATCATCTCAATGCCACTTTCTCCCGTTCACTCGCATTGGCGTAGTCATATTGTACTTAATGAGTGAGAAACATCATAACCTCTTCTCACTAGCTTGTGTCTGCATAGTCGCACCCTAAATGTTCTTTGATTATTAAGCATAAATACTAGTACAGTAGAGCGTCGATTATCCGAATCAATTGGGGACTGGGGTTGTTCGGAAAATCGATACTTCGGATAACCGATTATGTACAGAAAAATATATTAACCTATCCCATGTTGAAATTTTTCTCTGTTGCATGTCGCTTTGTGTTGAATTTTCATCAATGTTAAGCCTAACGAAGACTATTGTATCATTAAAAATTATTTTTTTATTTTGTACAAACAAAATAAATATATTGAAAAATATAAAAACAATAAAAAATTATAATTCAGAAGTTAATTTAGTATCAAAAATGTAAAATATTTGAGTAGCCCAAGACATAGCCAAAGATTGCAGCGCCACAGCACTGGCAAAAATTTAAATTTGCCGACTGGAATTCTTTTGGATAATTGACTTTCGGATAATCGACGTTCTACTGTAATTTAAAATGAGATATAAATTTAAATTTGTACACAGAAGCTGCAAAATTCCTGTGTGTGATATTGTATCTTCTGTTAATATTTTGTTTTATTTTATTTAGTAAATTTTCATTGTGATGGAAACATATCCACCAATTGCCATGTAGCTATAATCACCAAACATTGGTAGTTAGCACCTGACAACAGGCTGGCAATGTGAAATTATCTGGGTTTTCTTCATGTATATAATACCCCAAACAGAGGAGTTTCCTATTGATAGTCTTCCCAGGAGACACTTCCCCTTGTTAGATCATTCATGTATTGTGTTGCTTTACCACATCACTCCATTGCAATGGACACCAGATAATAAGTATGGTGTTACTTCTTTAATTCCTATATAAAGAATGTTTCTTGGTTTTTCTATGAAACATATATGCTATTTGTCAGATGCTGTGCATTTAACATTAGTTTTAGAGCACAAAGGCTATATTCATGATGAATTTAAGTATGATAGGTTCTTTTTTGTGTGTCCATGATGGTTTATTATTACACTCTTTAAATTTCATCCGTCATGTACTGACTCAAGCAAAAAATAGATATAATTACATTATTTATAACAATAATTAATTTTTCAGGCTATATTTAGGCTAATAATTTAATAAAATTAGCCAATTAGTCCTCCATCTTTCGGCCAAATATTAAGTTGTAAAAATTAAATTTGGTTGTTGTTTAAATTATCATTTACATATTATTTTATTTTTAAATACAAAACTTTGTACATTTAAATCTATAAAATTTCATTCATTTTTTGTATTGTATTAATGAATTTGTAAATTAAATGTTTAATTTGTAATCGTAAGTAAATGTTAATTTGATATTTTGAACTTTCTTACACAATAAAATTTCATTCTTTTCTGATGATTACGACTTACCTCTCAGAATTTTTTCTTCATAACACCTCAAAAAATCCCATATTCGTACAGTGCCATCGTCGGAACACGTCGTGAATTTAGTATCCGTAGGACAAAAACTATATAAAATGGGGAAAAATAAAAGAAATTGGCCGCACTGATAAGTAAAATAAAAATAGTCCTAACATCCTAATTTATTTATANTATGAAACAAACACAGAGTTGATTGCCACATAATCAAACTGGCTATCTGGCTATCAGCTCTGATCCAGATACATTGAATATTGTCCCCTCACTACATAGCAACTCCATTGCAGAATCTGTGGCAAGCATGAAAAACATTCTCTTAGTGGTTACAGAATGGGAAGAGTTATACAGGGTGTCACTTTGCAGTAAGTAATTTGTAATGTTAAAGTTATACTTATGTGCATACAAGACCTTAAGTTAGGAAGTAGATTTAAGAAAAGGTTCATCTACCACAAAGCAGAAATGTGGGACATACAAAGTGCAAGAAAATAAATCATGATGCTGTGACAATAAAGCAAGAAAAAAATTAATAGATTCTTGGCTCTTCTCCAAGTAAAAACTTTTTGTTTAGGAAACTTTAATGATTTAAGATAATGGTTGATCATTATGAGTCAACAAGAATTAAAGAGAGAATGTAAAATCATTGGTAATATGGGCTGGACAGACTTGTGGCCCTAAACTATAAGATAACAACAGATCCTTCTGTTCCATCAGATAAAGGTACAGTACATTTGTATATGTACAGTACCTTTATCTGATGGAAGCCCTAAGCCATAGACTCATAATGAGAAGCCCTACGCTGCAATTTATTTAATTTATATGCCAATCTGGCCCTACTGTTAATGGTCTCGCATCTTTTCTTCATCTTCAATTTTCATGTTGACTCCTAATGCTAGGTTTATAGCTCTCTTGTATTTGATTTCTGACAAAGGATATGTAACCTGAATTCATTAATATTTCCTATAAAGCTAGTATTTAATTACTCTGGAAGCAAAGATCGAATGGAAGTCTGGATAGCATAATTGGCAAGGCATCTGCATGGTAAGCACGAGAATCGTGGGCTTGATTCCCCGTTCTGAACCAATCTTTACTTCCAGAATATTCTAAATTTAAAACTTAAAATTAAATTTATTTATGGTTATTAAATTTACCATTAGATGGTGGCCAAACCACCTATCTGCAAGTAAACTACTTTACATCTTATCAATAAATTAATGCCACATGAAAAAGTAGATAAAATTTGATTTTTATTCAAAGAATTTTCCTGTAAAGTGTGTCAATAGTTAAATATGCTAATACAGTATATTTTATCGGTTAAACATTTTGTGAAGACTTTCAAGTTCAAAAACTTTCTTAAATTGTAACTTTTGCATGTAATCCATGACGATTCATGATGGCCAAACTATGGCTTACAAGCCACATGCAGCTCTTCTACACCCTTATTGCAGCTTTTGTATTTCAACTGTATAATAAATATATACATATATATATTATATGTGATTAAAATACTATATTAATAGAAGCCTGCAATATATACACACTTAAATGTCACTGGAAATTGAAATCATCCTCAACTTCTTTACACAGGCCATCATAGAACAAACTAAACAAACTTATAAATTTCAAGTAAAAAAAACTAATTTAATGAGATTAAATTTATTTAATTACAAAAACTGTTTGAATGTATAACTGAATTTTCTGTTATTAAATTAACTTCAAAAAATGGATTCTAGTATTATTATATAATTCTTTAAAAAAAGAAAATAAAAACAAAAGAATTCAAATCATAAGTCCATCATGTTTTATTTTGTTATATTTATAATAATAATAATAATAAATTTAACACTTCTCCTAATTAAGAAACAAACTCATTATTATGTGCATGAAAAAGATACTTTAAAATTGCATATCTTTCCATTATTAAACGTAATTAATTTTCCAATCAACCGACTTATTCTTATAAAAATCATTAATGTACATTCTTCATAACCTACTAACATTAAAATTGATCCAAGAAAATAATTAATAATGTTGACATATTTACAGGTGAAATGAGACAGGAGGAAAGAAAGAAGAGAATTATAAGTATATTAATAAACTTATTTGATGTTAAGAACAAAGAAATATTACTTTCTTGCTTGATATAATATAAAATAATGTTTTTATAAAAATTACATTATTATATTTTAACTATATATATATAAAATCAGAGACAGGATAAACAAATACATAGACCTATATATTAACATATCAACAAAATACTTCTGTCGTAACAGGACACGTTTAAAATTCTTTACTTTCCTTCTACAAATCAAAGAAACAATAAATCTGTAAAGCTAATTTTTAGTACAGAATTTGTATCTTATTTTCTCTCTCCACATTTTCATAAAAATAATGCTTTTTTTAAAACTTAATAAATGATGTAGATATATTTGAACTCTCAATGGATCTAATTTGTGAATTCATTTATTATAATACAACTAATTTTCCACATTTTAGACTATAAAGGTGAATGCAAGATAATAACAACATGCTTGGCAATACATTTATATTTTAAATGTGGGTAGCAATACCACTTTTCTTAGATGGATTGATCTAGATATATCAGAAACTGTTGTTCATTGTCCAGCAATCTCCATTGTGGGACTGGCCAAATAAATATAATAGGCATGCAAAACAGGCTTTCTTACAGTCTATAGGGCAAGAAACTATTTTAATGAAAAACAAGCATAAATCTTTTATGAAACATTTCATCAGTAAGCACTAATTAGAACATTTATCATTTATAATGTATTGGTAACAGTACATCAAACATACTGTTTGATGTACATTCTCATGTATGTTTGATGTACTGTTACCAATACATTATAAACTTTGTACCTGGTACTTCATAATTTAATTTCTAAATAAATACAATCCATTAGTAATAAGAAACATGATAAAAAAAAAGCCTATTATTAACTATTTTATGATAAATACAATCATCTATCAATGATAACTATGCACGATCCCATGTCGCAAAAAGATTGGGATTCAAATAAACTGAATATGAAACAAACACAGAGTTGATTGCCACATAATCAAACTGGCTATCTGGCTATCAGCTCTGATCCAGATACATTGAATATTGTCCCCTCACTACATAGCAACTCCATTGCAGAATCTGTGGCAAGCATGAAAAACATTCTCTTAGTGGTTACAGAATGGGAAGAGTTATACAGGGTGTCACTTTGCAGTAAGTAATTTGTAATGTTAAAGTTATACTTATGTGCATACAAGACCTTAAGTTAGGAAGTAGATTTAAGAAAAGGTTCATCTACCACAAAGCAGAAATGTGGGACATACAACTTGCAAGCTTTGTATGCAATACCGTAAGTATAACTTAAACGTCATTATAAATTACTCATTGCAGAGTAACTTTTCAGACAACCTGTATATGACAAACCTGTAATAAAATGCACATCATTCACAATTTTTCAGCAAGTGGAGTTTGTGGAACAAACATTTTCAGTTTATTTTAAAACCAAGAAGCAGGTTTATAAATTAAAAACATTAAAAACTCACTAATAAATTTTACAAACAAAAATAGTATAGTAGAATCTGCTTATTGTAATCATGAGTATTTTCTCAATCTAACAACATCAGTATGTCCCAAAAAATGTAAATGAAATTACATTTGTAAAGCCTCACATATTGGAATGATAGAGTTTCAGATATAATTGTTATTAATTTCAAGTAATAGACTTTTTTCACCATCTTTTTACATTACCGGTCTCAACATAGGTTGATAATGCCGATCGCTATCCACCAGTGGTTTAAATGTTTATAGTTTGTCTTTATTTATTTATGGTATAGTAATTTAAATTGCTGTTATTTACTACTTCAATTATATATTAGAAAGGGTAGTGGCAGGAAAATTGCATTAATTACTATTATATTAATAAATCTTCAAGTTATATATTTGCTTGAATTGTTTTAATGTCTCTTTCTAATGTCAGAGTCAATAAAACAAGAACTTCCACTAATTGTAGTCTTATTTACTTATGCCCACTTAATGTTATCAGTTAATTATCAGCATCATCACCATCAATATGATTACAATAAGCAGATTCTACTGCAATAGTAATGTTCAAAACTTTATTAAAAGCTTTTCTTCTTCTCAATTCTTTCCATGACTCATTCAAGACTTACAAGCAATTTCATGTAAAAAAAAAATGATCATAAGTCTTATATGTTAAGATTCTGTAGCCTTTCAAAATTTTTCTAATGCAAATATCTCATCATTTTACACATATTCTGAAGTTGGAGCCTCCCTAAAAACACTAAATAAATTTAAGCCTGACTTATTTACTTAATCTTTGTTCATTTTCATCGTCAGATACATTTATATATGAATTACAACAAACAAAATCTAATATTAAACTTAAATTTATAAAGAAAAAGTTCATTCTAAAAGTGAAACTAATATTTCTTCCTATATATTGAACTTAATTTCAAAGAAAGAGCACATCTAACCAAATATGACTAAATTAAATTATCAATTCATGTTTCAAACAACCACATGAAAACATTTTGCTTTAAAATGAAGGCCCAAATGACACTTTGCTTCACTTCAGAAAATTCAATCATTAAAGAATTTGGAACAGATCTAATAATTCTAATCTTAATACAGTATAGATGCAGAGAAGCATCAAAATTAATGTGACACTGAATGTCAATGACTGGTCCCAAACAGGGGCAAGCTACCCTCATGCAAGATACAAAAGTAAATATTGCATATCAAACTCTTAATTATAAACAATATAAATAAGGGTGATTATAATATTTTGCACTTGGGTGGCCATCAACCCACAAATGGCCCCGATTCCCCCAATTGCTTCTTTTGATTATGATAATTAAAATAGGTGATTGGTTGGAACTTATTGTTGATGTTCAATGTCATCTTAATTTTGCCCCCAAAGTACAGTACAGTAGATTGACATTTATATGACAAGTAAACCAACATCAAATCTAAATGTAATTTTTTAAAATTTTCAACCACATGGAAAATAATCATCAATCTAATTATAGTTACAGATAAATCAAGCTCATC